TGTACATTATAGTTACTATCATTATATATATATTAAGTTTTTTTTTTTTTTAATTCATCATAGATCTGAATATGGAATGCACCGACAGTTTATAGATCACACCCAACCGCCACCCAATCAAAACAACGATGTGAACTTTATGGCATCCACAGCCGCTGCGGCGGCTGTAGCTGCAGCTTCAGCGCAACTTAATACAGCACCTAATAACACAAATGGTGTTTTACCGAACTACAATAATAACAATAATAATAACAACATAAAAATTAAAAAACCGTCTGAAGAATATGATAAATTTGTGGACATTGTCAAAAATATTGTCGATAATCACAAGGCCACTCCGGATAAAGTGGATACATTTGGAGACTTTATTAAATCGTACATGAGACGTTGGCCAGACCGGTTGCAGGATGAAGCCATAAATCACATAACTAATTATGTTATTGTTAAAAACATGGAGAATTCGATGAATAATGGCGGGGATAGTGTAAACAATAGACAATAATACAAGGCAGCTTAGAATTTAGGTTGAATTATATACTGATTGATCTATCAGAATGTTATGTGCATGTGTAGCCTTAGTTTTGGTTTTAAGTACATCTAAAAACGTTACTTAATTTAGGGTTCATATTTCTTCTTGATTTATACATATTTCTTTCTTGGTTTATAGATTTAAATTTCTTTTATTGGATAGTAGGAAAACTATATATAAAATATTGCGATTTAATGCATTCAAAATGTACTATCAATTTCTTCGTAAGCTTAATTCACTTATGTTTTTAATATCTTACATTATTTTCTTATACGTATTTAAGAAAAATATTTAACGTTAATAGATTTTATTGGAATACTGGAGTGTTTTTAACTATTATAACCTAAGTTTAAATGAATGTGTTAATTTTAAATTGATATGGAAATAAAAAATCTACCCATAAAGGTTTTATTGAAATAACGGAGAATTATTTTTTTATGTACACGTTAACTTGGGGTTTACACCAGACAATATTGTCAAGATAATTATGTTAAAGTGATGTGCTTGTTGTAATATGAATTCGCCGTGTTTACAACAAACACAGTATTTTGACATAATTGTCTTGACAATATTGTCTCGTGTAAGCCCTAAGTAATATATACTATACAAACCCTGTACAACATTAAATAAACCTGTAAATAACTATTAATAGATATTTGCATAGAAACCACTAAATTAGATAAAATGACTGCAAAAAATCAGAAAAAATTTAGACGAAATAGTAGGTATGTATAGTAAAAAATAGTACTAATTTATACTGGAACCTGCAAATTTTTTACTGGAAAAGTGTATAATAACCCAAAAAATTTGCAGGAGAGCCCTGATTCGAGAGCATAATAACGCGGGAGAGCTGCAAATTCTTCCTCAAGGCGTATTTAACAGGTGATAGAAGCACCCTTTAATTTTTCTGCGCCTCACGGCTTTATATGTCAAATGGCTGCTGTTGATTGGTTGGAGCAGTTGTTTGTTTATTGTTTTTTGTTCTCTTTCACATCATTCCTATGAAAATTTTGACAGTCCTCGCAGCAAAAGCAAAAACAAAATACATGTACATTTTGTTGTTGGCGTACCGATACCACCTTATTGAATACGCCTTGTTCTTGCTAGTGAAATTTTTGCTAGCAGAAGGTGCAATCCCGTATTCCTCTTACTGAAACTAGTAAAACTGTCAAAAAATAAAAATTCGCTCAGAGGGAGAGAGTAACATTGTAACTTCTGTCAACTTCAACATAACCTCCAAATACCCAAAAATACTTTCAAACTCATTAGAATCCACTTAAACAAGTAACTAAATACTTTTTAACATGATTTAGGGAATGCACTTTTCTTTTGTTTACAATT